ACTGGGAGCGGGGCCGCGTGGCCTTCTACGACGGCCGCTCCCTCGACTTGCTCTTCGCCTTCCAGGCGCCCGGCCCCCTGGGGGAGCGCGTCTTCCCGCTGCTGTGCACCTGCGACCCCCGCGCCCCGCTCCGCATCGTGCCCGCGGAAGGCTGAGACGCTCGCCCACACCCCCTACGCCGGTTTGGCCCGAAGCGAGGCTGGTTCCTCTGGGACACAAAAATCCTTACTCATTCCCGGGATCATGTCCACATGCCCACTGCGGCAGAACTGATAAGCACCCCCCACCCACCTACATGGTCTCCTTTCTCCCAAATAGTTAGGACCTCAACTGGCCTCCAGTTTCCACATCCATGCCCAAAGTCAAATCCATTCCTGCCCCCTCCCTCTCGAGAGGCTTCTCGCCCACGGCTACCCTAGTCCTTCCCAACGGATCCCTCCCCTTCTACCATACTCTATCCCAGGCCTGAATTGGGGAACAGGCCTGCCCCGTTAGTACTGGTAAATGGTCCATGTTTAATACACACAGGCCCTGCGGGTCAAATATTTACCTCCCACTGCTGCCTCTCCTCTTGGCAAAGGGCCCAGTGCCCTCTCCACAGCTCTGAGGCTTGGGCTTCCCTGCCCTGTCCTCAAGAGAAACAAGAGCCTCCTCCCAAAAACCAAGAGGCTGGACACTGGCCCCAGCCTTAAGGTCCTCTAGGAAGCTTATGACTCCCTTTTTTGGGAGGTGGGGGCAGGTCCGTTCTATTACACCTGGACGACTTTCCCTGCTTACAGCCTTTCCCCATTAAGAACCTTCTTAAAACTCCTCCCTGCACATACAAGGAACCAATGGTGCTACCCTTACTTTCCTCAACCTGGGAATGGCCCAGACACCCCAAATTCACCCTTGTATATAGCCTCACATCTTTCCCCGTATGTATAAATGGGCCCATATTTAACACGTTTTGTGATGTTGGGTTATTTATTTTGTGCATCTGTGGCAATAAATGAGATCTCAGTGGTGGTATGGATTTGACTGATCTCTGCAATTCTGCATGGCAAGAAGCCTGGAAAATGACATCCAGATCCCAGTAAGGGGAGGGGAGGGCCAGAGAGCTGGACATCTGGGCTGGCGAGACATCAAAGCCTAGGAAGGAAGGAGTAAGAGTGCAGTGGAGACGACCTACCCCCATCTCTTCGCTCCCTCCCCTTTCCTTCCTTTCCCAGGGACCCAGGCCCCTGGGACCATGTTGGATCTGTCTCCTAAGCTGGAAGACCAAATGCTAAGGAGATAGTTGGCTCTAAGTGACCAGTCCTGAAGCCAGCTCCATCAGAAGCCCTAGATCACATGAGAAGGGTGAGGAGAGAGGACATGACTATTTCTTTTTCCATTTCCCATTAAAGGTGAGAATGACAAAGACCTCTCTCTCTCCTAACTCCTCTTAAGGGCAGAAGGGGAGTAGGCAGAAGAGGAGGGAAAGGGCTAGGAGCCTTGAGGTCTCCTGTAAGACCTCACATCCCACAGGCAAGGACTATGAGTTAGGGTGACATAAATACATTAGTGGAAGAGCGCTAAGCCAGGATTAACAAGCACAGCTGGGGCAAGATTGCCTGGAATCTGACTAGGGCCCTGGCAGTGAAAGCTGGGGCTGCTGGAAACCCAACTGAAGTGTTTGGGACTCAAGTAGAGAGTGCAAGGGGGCAAGATAACGGGATCCCAGGACAGGCAGTTTGGCAGTGAGAACAAAGGGGAGAGACTGGGACCAAGATGCCTGGATCCCTGGAGAGAGGATGCTGAGTATTGCAAGGAGAAATGAGGGCTGGGGGAACCCATAAGTCTGGGTTCTGGAATAGCAGCAAGTCAGAATTCCAGGATCTCTGTTCACCCTTCTCTTCCTCTTCCTTCTATCAGGCAGAGGAGAGGGGAGGAGGGGGCTTGAGAAGGTATCAAACCCTGGGTTTAGTCCCCAGGGAGCCACACGAATACATTCAGGACCAGACAAACACAGGAATGGTGGGGGAGAGAGGAATTTAGTGCTGCATTGGCCCTGGAGGGGGCTGGGAGGGGTCAGGAGGCTGGGGAGGGGTGGTGGGGCTTGGTCCCGGGGTTGCATGACGCCGTCCCTTGCGGTGGCCCCGTACACAGTGTGTATGACCACAGCCCTCCTCTTCCTCCTCATCACTCTCCGTGGAGCTCTCGCCAAAGGCCCGAGGTTTCTCATAAATACAGCAGCCTGGATTTGGAGGGAGGAGCCCAGTTAAAAAGGAGGAAGAATTAAGATACAGTGTCACTTCCATTCCCACTGGATCTCAGTAAAAATTTCAGCCTTTTCTCCTACCTTCCAGGATCCAGCTTCCCGAGGCCCACGCCCTGGGACTCAGGCACCCAACCCCTTTGTCCTTTTCTGCCAGGAATCCCAAGCTCCACTTCTTTCACCTCCGATACCTCTGGGCTTCAGGCCTTGGCACACCCCAATTCAAGCCCCTCCCTACATCTTTCCCTCTAACTTTAACCTCCTCTCCCTGATGCCAGAGAACCACCAAGGCAGCGACAGGATTATGAGCATCTGGGGGCTTTGGGAAGGTCAGTGGCTGTGAGAAGCAGAAGATATGCAGAGGGGAGCCAGAACTCCAGGGTTACTGGGGGCCAACAATGACTCACATTTTGATGAGCGGCGCCCCATGTGTTCGTTGTCCACAGTGTCACTCGTCCATTCCACTTTTTTCTCTGGCTTCCGTTTCCGAAGTTTGATGGTTAGGCTCCGGTTCTCCTGGAAGGTTAAGAAGGATGGGCATACCCATCTAGTCCCCTCCTACTAACCTTTCCCACTGCCTCCCAGGGGTCTCCTCTTTTCCCTTCCCCAGCTCAATCAGGATCATAGACATGTTGCCAGAGGAGCTGAGTGCTGAGAGAAGATAAAACAGAATAGGTTTTTGACCTCGGGGATTCCCTTGAGGAATCATGAAGTATTATTTCCTGTTCTTGGTAAACCACTAGTATACAGAGAAGACACAATTCCTAACCTAGGAAAGGTCCCAGCAAATCTTCAAAGGAAAATATAATCCTCGCTGTTTCTCCGTCTTCCTCCCCAAATCATCCTTGGTGGTATTAATACATGGACATTGTTTTCTCAGTCGCCAATGCCTAATCTTTGATCTCCTTTTCTTTTTTTCCAGACTCTCCCTATTCTTTTTCCCATTGAAGAAAGAATTCCATTCTCATCTCTCTCATCCTCAAGCCCAGCCCTTCTCACCTCTTATCCAACTATTCCCTGGTATCCTGGCAGCTCTAGTAACTATTACTCCAAACTCCCTTAATCAGGGGGGTTACTAAACCCAGTAATACAACTTCTCCCTTTGAAAGCAATTTAGCCTGTTTTTGCAAAAATGCTACATTTCCCTCTATTTATATCACCTCTGATTTCTCAAAATACTATCTTCATTTCCATTTTCTTGTTCCCTCATTTCCTCCCCTTCCTTTTATATTCATCCTTTTAACAAATATTTATTGATAAATATGCTTCCAGTCAAATTCCCCTATAGCTGGCCTCCAATCATGCTTTCTTGCTACACAGCCCTTCATTTTCCCCCAGCATCTTCCTGGCTCCTTAATCCCCAAGTTCCTGTTCTTCCGTTAATTATACACACCACCATTCCAAGCAGCATCACCTACATTCTAACTCTATTACACGTCGCTGGACCAGCCTTCTGCACCAACTCTGACACACCGAAAATCCCCAATACCTTGCGATTCTCCCAATCCCACTCCTCCCATATCCCCAGGCCCAGCCCCTCCAGCAACTCTCCAAAACCCTATCCCTTCCCTCCCGGTATCTCCCGACCCCTAAACAGCGCCTCCCCCCGCCTTTCTCACGGGCTCGGTTGTCACGGTAACCGTTGTCTCAGTGACGGTCTCACTCAGCCCGGCCCCTGCCTCCGCCATGGCTAAGGCTGAGGAGAGGGAGGAGGGGAGGAAGGGGGATGAGACACCCTTCTCTCTTTTCTGAGTCTCTGAGGTCTAAGAGAATCGGTATCAGTTCAGATTAGTAGCCAGGATCCTCCACCTTCTTTTTTCCCCCTCCTCCCGGGCCTCCGCTGCCCCACCCCTGGGGATAACCTGTCCAACCCCACTTCCGGCTCTCCACTTCCGGGTATGACGCAGTCTGTGGTCCCACTTTTCCTTTCCCCGCACTACACGCGTCAAAGCGCAGGGTCGTCAGATTAGTTCCGCTGTAATGTGACAGCGCGCAGACGCCGCAAAGAGGGGACACAAATTCGGCGGAAGAGGCGTCGCTGCGGTGTGGGAGCAGAAGAGGCGCAGTCGTGGGCAGCAGGCACTTGCGCAACAGAGCAGTAACCCGCGGTCTGGAAGGGTAGATACGGGCTTGGGGCAGCGGACTGGGTTCAGGCATCCAGTAGCTGAGCCCACTTTCCCTGACTCCATCCCTTGGATGTGTGGAAGGGCGGAGAAACTAAGGGACAGTAGTAGTGAACCTACCATGGCCTATCTTTCCCCCTTATTGTTTCATCTGGGAATTAGAGAATCGGGACCTCGGAGCAGTTGGAAACACTGATTCTGAGTTCTAGTCCTCGCCCTGTGCCTGTAGGTGTTTGAGCGGGGCACTTAATGCACCTTCAAATTGGATTTTTTCCTTTCACTGCGCTAGAACTTGAAGATGGAAGTGCGTAAAATACTCAGATTCTGCGTTTTTGCTCCCTGTCTAGTGAGGAAGACTGGCAAAAATGCTAACAAAAATATGATACTGGGATATTAATATAGATGTAAATCTCATCTGTGAAACTGAATTTAGTTATATATTGCCTAAACTCGCTCTGTGGTGGAGATGAGTAAGGCACAGAAATAGTCATAAATTACAATACAGGCCAATTTATGCTAAAATAAAAATATGTGCATGTTTCTCAGGGAGCGAAAGAGTTTCTCAGAAAACAGACAAATGGCTGTTTTAGGTAAAGAAAGCAGTTACAAAGTCGTGTTGTGTGCACTGAAAGAAATGCAATTTTGTACTGCTGGGATGTAAGGGCCAGATGAGGATTGCCGGGTAGGCGTGGTTATATAAGCGTCCCTTTATGCTTTGCTAAGAAACTGGGACTTTATCCAGTCGGTGTTACAGGCCAGAGAAAGGCTTAAAACGTGAACAGATTTGATTAAGATTTCAGGAGTCGGGCAGAAAAGTCAACTACCAGAAGTGTTCAAACGTACAGCAAAGACTGCCCTCTTCATCCTTACAAGTTGCTGTGGGGGTCAAGCAAGATAGTATGAGAGCTCTCAATATATAAAGGGCCACACAATTACAAGATAATCATTATTACTGTCATCCTCTGATCACCATTTAAACCAAGGAATGCAGGAATACTGATTCCCAGACTGAAATCTGAATATGTTTATTGTGCCTGGATTACTTATTTGTTTCCCCTCTAAGCTTTTGGTTCAAACTGAAAAAAGCAAGATACAACTCAGCATGTATATATAGTAAAGCCCATTAAAAAAGAAATCTACATATTTCTGTGGAGTGGGATCCCTTTTGAATTTTTACTTTTTTCTTTCTACCTTTCTATATATGAATCTATTACAATGAATATATATATGTATATATATATAAAATTTGTCTCAAGAACAATAAAAAAAAATTTCCAAAATGTCCACATGTATCTCTTAGTGTCAGATTTTTTTTTTTTTTGGTCCAAACTTACATACCAAATGAATCTGTATAAGTTTTCTGTTGAATCTCTCCCTATCCAAACTCCTACTTTTTGCTTCCCTAAACTCAGGAACCAAATAGATTTAGATAGGGAGGGAATACTTTTAATTGCCTTTTTATATTAGCCTCAATCCTGGCTTCATTTTTCTTTTTCTTTCTTATGTACTAATTTATATTATCTTTTTATAGATGATATATTTGTTGAATGAACACATGTATTTCTGTAAACTAAATTTATTTGGAATAAGACAGGTTATAAATAACATACATATGTCTGGCTCCTAAAGAAAAATAAAACTTTAAAAAGGAAATTCAACCAGGGTAGGAGTACTCTGAGGACAATGGTAATCACCACATGATGATATGCTTTTCCTCTGGGAGCAAAACAGTGCAACCAGGAGGTGGTCAAAGACCTAAGAACCCAATATCCTTCACCTTCCAAGGAGAAGGAGGGATTGTTGAGTTGCTCAGGAAAAAAATCAAGAGTCTTCCTTCTCCTGGAACCTATAAAGAAAGAAAAGACTTGTTATATTTGATCAAAGGAAGAGGTTCTAGCAGTGTAAGATGAGGCACTCAATTTAATACCAAGAAGGACTTTGATTTATGATGGTGGAGGACTAGCTCCCCTTAACAACCCTCCACATATTCAAGACAACCTTAAGATGCAGGATTAAAAAATATATCTTGTGAATTATGAAGTATGCCAAGGTTTTCTAGGAAGCAGAAAGCACTAGGCATAAAAGAAAAGGATAAGCCAGACCTCATAAAAATTAGAAACTGCTGTTCATTAAAAAAAAAGTAAAATAAATAGGTCAAAATGGGGAAAAACTACTCTCAAAAGATATAACTATAAATAGTTTTAATCCATTGATGAGATGGCAAGGAAGTAAAGGCCATCTTCACACTGGGTGAAATGATGTAAAACCAGGAATCTAGACAGGGAAATTAAAACGGAAGCCCCGGCTACCACGGTGCCCTTGCTGTTTTGACAGCCCCATGGAGGAACCAGAGACAAATCAACAATGTCTGACAGGAGATACTCTGCATAAGTTTGAGACCCCCAAGAGGCTACCCCTCCATATAAAAGTGAACAAGGAAAAAAAAAAATCCAACTCTGCAGAAGAGGAATTTGACTGTCTCACTAGATGGTGGGAGAAAAAAAATCTATCCTGAGAATTTCTAACCAAAAGCTGGCCTTTACATTAGATTTGCAGCCCAAATTCTTACTACCTACGTTCTCCAAAATACATGAAGCTGAGAATTCATTTAACATGATTCTGGCTTGGTAGTGCCTCAAGGCACCTGAACAGGAAACACAAATGCTGAGAATATAGCTTTCACCCCAGGCCTCAAAGAAGTCTCATATTTCAAATTCTAAAAAAATCTGAGCTTATAGTCAAAAATCACAAAACAAAAAAAAGGACCATGCAAACAACATGAGTCAACAGAAATAACAGACAGCAGCATCAGACCCACAAAACCTGTGGGTATGAGAATTATCAGATATATCATCGGACACAATATATCATGTTTAATGTATTTAAGTATAATACATATTTTAAGGATAAAAGGAACAATTTAAAACATTGAAGAATTACAAATTATTAAAAAAAATCTGAGGGGATTTGAAATATAATCAAGTAGAACTCAAGAAAAAAATTTTAAGTAATGACAATTTAAGTAAAATGAAGACAGAATTAGTGACCTGAAAGAAAGACCAGAAGAATTTACCCAGAAGCAGCAATGAAGAGAAAGGAGATGGAGAATATGAAGGGTGAGAGAAATGGCGGGTAGAAGATAAGATCTAATAAACAACTAATTAATGAAAGCTCCAGAATGTGGGAATTGAGAACACAGGGGAAAGGCAATATTCAATGAGATAATGGTTGATAATTTTCCAAGGTTGATAGGAAAAAAAAAAATCAATCCTCACTTTCAGAAAGCCCAACAAATCCCAAACAGGATAAATAAAAGAAAGCCACATCTTGATATATTGTAGTGAAACTGCAGAACACCAAAAAATAGAGGAGTCCTTAAAACTATTCTGAGAATCCATGTTCTTTAAATCATCCATGACTAATTTTCATCCAAGTAAAACTACCTTGAGTGTAGTGGGTGATTCCACTGTAACATACTGATCAAAGAATAACACTTGCCTCCTGTATTTTTTCATTTCCTTTTAAATATCCTAAACTCCTAAAAGATTTAGACGACTAGGTGTGAAAAGAGAAAAGTGTAACTTTGGGGGGAAAAAGGACAAGAAACAAACAAACAAAAACCACGACCACAAATCTCCCTATTACTTGAACTGTACAGAAATGAGGGATGGGACCAAGGAGACAATGATTTATGCAGTACAAAAAGTAAATCGCTGGATTTGTTCAGGTAGCAAACAGACTGAGAAAGGGCAGAGAGAAGGGAAAGGATACACACTTGCAGTTTGTACAGGTGTAGAAGACAGTCTGCCCTTCATCCGCTGAGCGCATCTGTCTGGTGTAGTAAGCCATTCCCTCATGACCACATCGAGCGCAGCGCCTGTCAACCTGGGAAGCAACTGGGTTAATAATTCCCCCTACTTCTCACAGATAATCAGGTTATTACACTCCTCAGACTCTGCTGTTTTAAAGACCCCCACTCCTCCCCTTGGAATTGAGTACAAAACTCTTCAGATCTCAGCAATCGCCTCTCCATTTCTTTCCCACCCTCTAACGGGGCCAGTCCTCGATGTAATTCACTTACCACGGGTCCTTGGAATTCAGGTCCTTCCTCCATTGACACAGGCATGGCTGTTCCCAGTTTGCGGAACACAAATGAAGTCTTCACCATCTTCCCTTCAAAGTCTGCGCAGGCCGTAAGAATTGGTTGCGGAGACAAGCAGAGGGGGTCTGGCACCCACGACTCCCTGGATTAGACCAGGAGGCTTTATATTGCTCCCTTCAGATGTCGTCCCAAGACCAAAAGTATAGGTGCCTGATCCTCTGCTTTAGGGTCCCCCTCTTCAGTACTACCGATCGTGAAGTCCCCCAGCCTCTGGCCCTTCCATGCTGGGCCCTCGGCCGGGGCCGCTGCGTACAAGCGCCTCACCTCGCACGTTGATGGAAAAGCCACAGCGAGTACAGGTAACCGTGTCCTGAGCTCCGGGCAGAGGCAGGACCGAGCCGCAATCCGGACAGAAATCCAGGTCTGACTGAAAGCTGGAGCAGGTGCCGGCGAGCTCCATGACGGACCGGTGGTCGAAGGCTACGCAGGGGATAAGAAATTTATTAACAAAAGAAAGAGAGTAGCCCCCTCCTCACTGAAGGGTCACTCCTATTCTGTCCCTGGACCTAAGCATACAGAACCGGAGCCATCCTCCCAAGCATGCTTTTTGCCTGTGCCGCCAAGGAACCCAAAGGTCCGGAATTCCCAGCCCGCCTCGAATACGACAAGTTGGGGCCTTTCTGGAGCAGGCGAACGAGGCCAACCAACGCGGCGGCCTAGAGCGCCAGTTCTGCGCGGCGATGGAGCAGTGAGCGCCTGGCGGGCTAGAGCGTCTAAGCGTCCGGGCTCACGATTGGCTGTGACGTCATAACTAATCGCAGACGTGGTCCGTAGAGAGGGAGAGGAACCTCTTTGGAGGGAGTTTGTAACGCCACCTTCAGCCTGGCTCTGTGACGTCTGATAAGAAAATGTAATAGAAGCTACGTCTTCCGTTACGTTTCCCCGCAGGACTCAGTCCTGGGATGTTTATTTTATTGGTCTCGGATTTTACAGGGACGTAGTCACTGGGGGCGCTTCTCCTGAAAAATCGTACTAACTAGCGAATACTAATTTATTAGCGGCTGGACAGTGGTTAAAAACAAAGCGGAACATTGTGGAATTTACAGTTCTAGCGCTCCTTGGGCCTCGCGGGGCTCTCTGCAGAGTCCGGCCTGGCTCGCGTACTGTGGGGACTGTTCTGGGCCCTTGGAAGGGCCGTGAGTCGACTTCTTACGGGGCAGGAAGTGGTGAGGGTGAAGGCTGACGAGGAATGCTTAGTCTCTAGGAACGAAAGGAAACAGGGATGATGTAGGACACTTGGGAAGGGGCTCAGGACTTTGGAAGTGGCAGAACAGAAGAGTTTGGGACTTCTTCCTCCTTAAATGCCTGTGGGTTGAGGGAGGTTAGCATTAGTCAAGGGAGCAGCCTTGGGTAGGCAGGCTTTCAATAAGACTTGTAGAGTTTGGATTTTAATTGCGGATCCCCATTCACCTTGTCCCCTGCCTCCCATCTGCCCAACTCTAAATCATCATCGTCATCCATTAGGTGGACAGGTGACATTTCCCTATCTTTTATAAAACATGAGGACAAGTATTTTTTTAGAAACCTTGTTATTTTAACTCATCTGTAACCTACAATCTAAAATAGAAACTTGTCCTGAAGGGATAGCTTCTGGATGAGTTTCCTAGTTCTCTCCCAGTCTTTCCACCCCCACTAAACCAGATAGCTGTGCTAAACTACTAACATAACAAAGTTTTGGAGCCATCACTAGTTTCTCCTTTAAAGGAAACAACCTGTGATCTATCCTTGAAAGAGGCTTTGATCTGCTTCTCTGCAAGAATGGAAAGACAAACAGTGAGGGGGTTAAAACTCTTGAGCAAGCTGCTGGAGAGTGACAAGCCCCATAATAAGCTGTCTGTCTTAGAAAGGGAGGTCTTTTGCTGAGCCCACGATGGTAGGCAAGTTTTTGTTCTCACTTCTCTGTGTCTGTCTCCTTTGAAAGTGGAAATTGAAATTACCATCTTTTCTCCCCAACTTTCCCTTTAAAATTTGACAAAATTCAATGCAGATCAACCCAGAGTTGAATATTGTCCTAATGTAGTTAAGGAACACAGCATTAGAAGGCATGGCCCTTTCCCAACAAAAGCTCACAGTCTGCTCGTTAGTATTTATTAAGCACCAGTGCCAGTCTCTGAGCTGAAGTTGGAGCTGCAAAGCTGATAACTGTGTTCTCTGACATTAAGGAGTACAAGTGACTAATTAGAATGCAATGAAAGTATACACTTACAGGACAAAATGTGAGTGTGCAAGATAGGCATATAAAACAAATATGCCTGTATACTTCAAGGAAGACTGGTAAATGTTTTGATAAAATGATAGAGGAATGTAAGAGGGAAAGATGCTCAGATAGATGATAAGGATAATTAATCATTAATCAATAAATAATTACTTTTGAGAACATGGAATTACAGACTCTAATGTTAAGTACTGTGCTAGATACTACATATGGAGAAATAAAAGTTAGGTGGTTACATTTTTTAAAATCTCAAAATAGGTATACATAGGCAATTAAGAATGTGCCTGAGGTCAGTGAGAGCCAATATTTGGTATCAGATCCTTTCTGATATTATAGATAGACCATTGTATTTGTAGATGAAAAAATGATAGCCTCCACTCTTTTATGAGTCTGAATTTCAACATCAAAACGTTAAAATTGATATGTGGAGGCAGGTATAGTTCAAGTGATAGAGTGCATGCTTAGCATACATGAGGTCCTGGGTTCAATCCCCAGTACCTTCTCTAAAAATAATAATAATTAATAAACCTAATTACCTCCCCCTGGAAAAAGGAAAAAGGTGATATATGAATACAGATATCACAATGGAAACTATGACTGATTTTCAAATGAATTGCAGAAGTAGAAAATCTGTTCATAGAAAGGCAGATATCAGTGTTACATATAGTAGACTGGAAAGACTTCCTGGACAAGGGCATGACCTGTGGAGGATAGACAACTGACATTTATTGAGAACTTTTATCAAGCATTGTGCCAGGCTCTGTAATCTCATTTGTTCTTTGTAACCCCAAGAAGTGAAATTTTGTCTTATATCTCCATTTTATAGTTGAGGAAACTCATTTAGAGAGAGATTAAGTTACTTGCCCTGAATCACACACCTTGAAAGTGGTGGTATTAGGATTCAAGCATAGCCCTGTTAGGTTTCAAAGCCCATGCTCCAAACCATAAATAGTATAAACAAAAGTACAGAGATGAAATGCCAGGGATCCTTAGTGGCTTATTTATGACCTCACAGTAAACTCAGTTTAGATCAGGGATGACACACAAAAAGTTGATAGTCTTCACTTGTGTTGCCATCAGCCTGTCCTATAAATAAACCTAGGGTAACTACAAATTCTGATCCCCAGGATATCAATGGGGAATGATCTCATAATGAATTTAGGGTAAAGGATGATTGATAGAGTAAGGCAGGCAAGCAGAGGGGTGGGCGATCAAATAAGAACAGAATTCAGAACAAAAGATAATGGGACAGAGATGCTATATGTGTTATTAGAGGCAGAGAGGGCCCGGCTCAAGAAAGTGCACAAAGGGGATGAACTGATAACACTGAAGTCAAGAATTATCTCAGGAGACAAAGAAGGCTGTGGGACTCAGCGTACTCTCATAGACATGCTTGGGCAATGCATCTCCAAGGAGCCTGTCTCTTCACTTTCTCAGTCCCTGGTACAAGACTCAGAATGGTCCACGTTGAGTCCACAGGAGAAGTATGCTTTTAGTTTATATGAAAGGCTTGAAGTTGGCCCTCTGTATCTGAGGGTTCTCCATCCACAGATTCAACCAACTGTGGGTGGAAAATATTTGGAAAACAAAATTCTAGAAGTCTCCCAAAAGCAAAATTTGAATTTGCCATGCACTGACAACTGTTTACATAGCATTCACATTGTACTCACAACTATTTACATTATATTTACAAACTATTTACATAATATTTACATTGTGTTAGGTATTATAATTAATTGAGAGATAATTTCAGTTATACAGGAGTCTGTGCCCAGGTTATATACAATTACTATGTCATTTTATATAAGGGACTAGTGCATGGATTTTTGGTATATGGGGGTGATCCTGGAACCAAGGGATGTTGGGGGGTAGTCTGCAGACACTGAGGGATGACTATATATGCTCTTATTTATATGTTCTTATTAAAGGAGCATTTATTATTCTTCACCATAAGAATGCAGTGGTTTCCCATTGGGACTGGCCCAGCTGTAGTCCTACCTATTGTCAGGTTTTCTGTTTTTGAGGGACATACCCT